GAATTTCTGAATGGTAAGCACAATAGGCGCTTGGGTTGTAACAGGGGGAGCCAGTGTTAGGATTCTTTGGAGCTTCCCGCAAGGTTACCAGATTAGATCTCAATAAATGTGGCAAGACTTGAGACAACGTCATATTTATCCGGGTAAATTGTCCTACCGGTCTTTCTGTTCTAGGCTGGTTGTTCCTTTGTTGGGTAGGTGCAGGCTTAGGGATCATGATGGCCCATACCATTGGATAGTGTTCAGTTCTGTCCTGATTCCTTTGATGGTACACGACACCAACCTCTTTCTTCCCAGTGAATGGTTTTCTCACGGAACTGGAGGATGCGTCCTTTTGGATCTTCCCACTCTTAATCCCAACTTCCACTCTCTCCCCGGTCAAGATTAATTCAGTGAAGCCGGTTGAGGAGCTTCCAATTAGATGATTAAATAAAGGACCAGACAGGGTACCCAGAAACATGTCCACTAGCTCCCTGTTAGATAGGGGAGGTTGGATTCTTCCTGCTAAGTCCCTCCACTTCTGAGCGTAGTCCTTGAAACCCTCACTCGAACCCATGGCCAAACTCTGGAGTTGAGTACGAATAGGAGCAAGGTCTGCATTGTACTGATAATGCTTATAAAAAGCAGCGGCCAGGTCTTCCCAATTATGGATATTGGCCCTCTCCAGTTGATAGAACAAATCTAGCTGAGTCTCGGATAGACTATCCTGAAAGAAGCGGACCCATAAATCTCTGTCAGCAGTGTGAGGCTGTATCTTCCTCACATAAGATCGGAGGTGCATCTTGGGACACAAAACTCCGTCATACTTAGCAAACACTAGTGCCTTGAACTTTGGTGGAATAATAATCCCAGACACCAAACCCAACTCTTCAAAGTCTATCCTGGGCACTTTCTGAATCTCCATTGCACTTAAGAGATCTTCCAACTATTTGTATTTATCGTCAGCTGGAGGATACTGCTCTTAAGAGTAATCAACCTCTTCTTCCTCTTCAGATTCTGGATGGTCAGTCACTTCCTTGTTTTTTCCTTCTTGATTATCCTTTTAACCTGATGATGTTGCGAAGTCTATAGTCCATCTGGATGGCCCTTGGAACCTTCTTCCTAGATTCAAAACACCGGTTGATTTCTTCGTCTTCTTCTTCTTTTCTTTGATCAGTAAAGTTTTCAAATCCTCTTATCCCTTTGCCAGAGTCAAGAACATTTGTTGAAACTGAGCGTTCTGTTCCTGGAGAGCTTTTACTATCTGCTCAAGATCCATCTTACTGAAATAAACGGTAGAAAGATAAGGAGACCCGTTGTAAGAAACCTGTTTGTGTTATGATGAATGAAGATGCATATGAAAATGATTTCAAGGAAATTAGAGATTTAAATTTGCTTTAGATAAAAAGGAACACACGTCATATTAATAAATCAAAGTTTGAGTACATCATGCCTCTTTGGGATTACAATGAAATAAATGAAATACAAAACTCTAAGACAAAAAAGTTGAACACATCCTTTTTGGTGCAATGTAGGCGTTCAGACTCCGCTCTTTATGAAGCTGCTTGGTGAGTTCCAGAACTTTCTTCTTGCTGGCATATAATTGGGCTTCTAAAGTGTCTCGCTCTTCCTAAAACTGTATCCAATCCCTTTACAAGTCTTTGAGAGAGGTGGGCATATTAGGATGAAGGATAGTGTATGGGACATCTCCTTCCACAACAGGATCTATGATAACTAGGAGAATAAAGGGGTAAGGTATCATAAGACTTTGATCACGAGCTCGTCCCATTTGAGATAAGGCTCAAGAGGGATGGAATTCTTGTGCCCCAGTGTCTTGCTATCCACCTTGTTTACCATCCTTCAAGCTTGCATAAACCTCTTACGGTAGCCTTGCTCGTCGCTTTCGTAGTCAAACACCAAACCTTGGATGAGTATCTCATGAGGGCCATCGTTTCAGGCATACCCAAACTGTCGTAAAGCTAAGCAAGGGTTGTAAGTGATACCTCCCCTAACTCCAAGTAGAGGGACATTAGGGAATTCCCCACAACGGTCAATGATAGAAATATCATCCGAGGATCTTGAACACCAATGAATATCAGAGTGGGTGAGGGACATAATACTTTGAGACAATGTCAATCTTTGCTCGTTCTTCAATTTTGATCGATGTAGGCGTGAAATGAACCACTTGGCGAGTAGGGGAATACAACACAAAAGGGCACCTCTTTTCTTCATGGTGCGGGTATGGATGCAATGTAAGATGTCTCCCAACAAGGTAGGTATATGATTACAGGAGAGAAAGACCTTGATGGAATTTACATCTATGAATTGGTCCGAGTTGGGGAAAAGAACTAGACCATAGATGAGAAGGACCAAGATGTCTTCAAAGGCTTGAGAATCCATATCTTCCCAGAATGAACGAGATTTCTCTAATAGAAATTTGGCTAGGAACCCTTTGACTCCACTTCTAGTCTCCCAATTTGCTATGATGTCGGCTCTCTTCAGATGTAGAGCTTCGGCCATGACCTCAAGTTTCGGGATCCCTTCTAGACCAGTGAACGGTATCAGATCAAGCACGGGAACTCCTAATAGTAGAGAGAACTCTTCTAGTGTAGGTACCAACTGATAGTCAGGAAAGGTGAAGCAATGATGTAAGGGATCAAAGAATTGGAAGAGCACACAAATCATCTCCTCTTGGAAATTGAAGGTAGCCAAACTGAGGAGTCGTCCATATTTCTTGGTAAAAGGAGAATCTCCGGGCACCCTTGATGCTAACTCTTGGAGCTGAGGGTGTGCTTTCAGAAGTTGATTCATATGGTGTTTCTTCGAACGGAGTTCATGGCCTACAAAACAAAAACAAAGATAAATTCCTAAATCCTTGAAATAGTTAGTGAGATTGCGTATGATGTTATGATGTTCATGATGTTATGTACAAGTAAGCATATATACACAAGGCAAAAACAAGTCCTTAGGCTTAGGCTTACATGGAGTTTGTAGGTAAGTACCCTCTTGAAGTTTAGTTGGCTCAAACCTGTCCTAGTTAATAGTAACCGGGTTCTAAGGGATCTCAATATCACCGACCTTTCTTTTAGGCATTGTCCCAGCACAATCAATCTTTTCTTGCGGTCGGGATATCCCAAAAGTATAGTATTAATGAGTGCAGTATCAAGTATCAACCAATTTTTAGCTTTCCACCGAAACCGGTTACCTCACTACGTCCTAATTGGCCAAGTTTGTTCAATTATGGTTCTAAAGTCAGTTAGTGCTTCATGACGCCACTCAGCGGCCCCGTATTCTCCTCGATTCAACACAAGGGATACCGGTACCCACAAATGCGTCATACTAACATAGCCATTGTTTCAACCATATCGGTCTACGTCGTACAGTTTCCACAAACTACTGCTACTTACCTAACAAGGTGTCCCAGATTCGGGTGGAGGATCAAAGCAATCCCAAACAAGGAACCATAATGTAAAGCATGAAAGTCAAACAAAGAAAGCAAGTAAATCTGATCTAGCCCTAAGGTAACCCCACTTTTAAAATTTCTCAGGCAGAGTCACCAGTTCTGTAATACGGTGGGAGAACTGACTTGGGTGTTTTGTGTTTGATCGCAAATGTTGCAGTTAGCAAGAGTCGCTACCAACTTTTCTTTTATCCAAAAGGAAAGGTGGAAAATAATAGGAAATACCTTTGAGATTATTTCTTGAGTTCGGGGGGTAGATTATAAAAAGGGAAGGTATTAGCACCCTTTTTATCCATAGTTATCTACGGGCTCTTAGTTTCTTGCTAAATCACTTGCTTTTGTTTGAAAATTTGCTTTGTGTGGTTTTTTAAAGTATTTTGAAAAGGCGCCATCATTTGGGCAAACTTTGTAATGATTCTCGTTCATAAGAATGTATACAAATTGTTGATCTTTTGCAAATGTTTCAAGTTTGAAAGGTGTTTTGAAAGTGTTGGTGTTTGTTTTTGAAAATACCAACGATGTTTTGGTTTGAAAATGAGCAAGCAATTAGGAACATTCTACCTACTCAAAAGTCTTTCTTGTTTATTTCCTCTTTCCTTTGACATTGTTATCTTACCATTGATTGGTAAGTAACCTTATCTTTGGATGTAAAATGGACGGGCAATGATCATCGTATAATCATGAATAGCAATATTGTAAGATATCTTAGCATTTTTTTGAGGGACTAAGATCATTCATAAGGCAACATTTATAGCGTCATTGAAGGACTATGATATTGTATTTTGTTTTTTTTGCTAAGACATCTTACATGCGTATTATGACCATTTTCATAAGGCAACAAAGTGGATTTACCCTAAGGGTGTACGTGTGCAAGTGTATGGATTTACATGTATTGTTTTGTCTTTGAATTAGGGTTTTCTAAGTATTAATTTTATCTTTCCATACAAACTCTAATTTACTAGCATTTATATATAAAGCATTAAATTGCGGAAAATAAAAATACTAACCTATTACATCATTAGGGGAGGGGGTGTACAAATTCACAAATGGGGATTTTGCAAGAAAATTAAATCTAATTAACTATTACAACCATATTGAATATTGTACAAAATTGAAAATAAAAATGCAAGAATGTAAATGGAAAAAAGAAATGATTTTGTTTTTTATGAAAGGGTTTAGTCTTGACCTAATTAAAAAATGATTAAGGAAAATTAAATAAAATTAACTTAAACTAAATAAAAAAAGAAATTAACTAAAAAAGGATTTTTTAGGGTTTTATTTATGAAATGGTTTTAAATTAATAAAAATAATATGGATATTAATTAATTAAAAGAAACCTAAGTTCTAAATTAATTTTAATTGCAAGAAAATAATATAATAGTTAAATCTAAACCTAAATATTAATTATTAAGAAAGAAAATAATTTATTAAGAAAATGTTTTTGTTCTTTTAATTTTATAAAACAAATAAACTAAATAAGTGTAAAAATAATAAATAAAATATTTTTTGGATTTTTATTAATAGTAATAATAATAATGATAATAATATCAGTTAGTTGACGATGGCGAGACGAGGGCGTCCTAAGAAAGAGGTTCCACCGTCATCCTCCACCGTTTCCGTTATAGATGCTTCGGTCGTTGGCTCACCGGTGTCTTTGAAAAACCAGGTACCATCATCCACTGAAAGCACAAGTTTGAAAACCCCTTCGGTTCTAGCTTCAAATGAGGAAGAAGGCGTGAAATATGTAAACCAGGAATTGCCTAGGAAGCTGTGGGTTGATATTCTGAATGAAAATCGAAACCCAGCTATGGTAGGGCTATGGCGTTCATTGCTCCGTCAATAATCAATGGTATGGTAGAGGCTGAAATTACTGAAGAGGATATCATGCCAGAAGTTAGGTTTTGGGAATCGTCCCTGATTATGTATGTTCTGGGTGGTGAACTCAGTATGAATATGGTTAAACAGTTTATGATGAAGCATTGAAACTTTGTTCAACTTCCTGCCATCTATTACAATGAGGAAGGTTTTTTTCTGCTGAAGTTCAACACTCTGTCAGATAGAGATTTTGTGTTAATGAAAGGTCCTTATACGGTTTGTAATTGCCCCATGATTCTGCGTGAATGGAGACAAGATTTTAATCTCAAGAATGATCTTCTGCAAACACTCCCTATCTGGGTGAAGCTCCCACAATTGCCTCTTATCTTTTGGGAGATTTCGAGTCTGAACAAAATTGGAAGCATCCTTGGGACCCCTATTGTGACTGATGAATGTACAGCGAATAAACATAGGGTGTCGTATTCTCGTATTCTGGTAGAAATTGATATTACTAAGGAACTTCAAAGTGAGATTGTGATTAGATATAGTCATGGGGAGAAACTGTCACAGATAGTTGAATATGAGTGGGAACCTCTTTTCTGCAGGAAGTGTAAAAAATTAGGGCATAATTGTGAGAAAAATAAATTAAAAGAGAAGATTTGGGTCCCAAAAGCCTCTACTGAGTATCTAAAAGAAGTAACACCAGGGGTTTAGACTATGGATTCAACTTCTCCAGCTGAGAAACTTCCTACTGTTAATGTGCAGCATATTAAGTCTCAGGGTAATAGGAATGTGCAGATGCAACATCAACTTGTTGAAGGGGAAGAAAAGTGGACTCAGGTTCCAGGCAATGGGAGAGATAAAGGTAAAGGTGTGTTGATTGATCCCCAAGCAGGTATGGTCTCATTTGGTAATGGATTTGATGCTCTGGGAATTTTGAATGATCTCCTAGAGCTTCAAAATACTGGTCAATGCTAATGTCTTGGAATATAAGGGGGCTGAATAAATCTGCCAAAATTAAGGAGGCTAGCTCCCGTCTCCATTCCCTTAATGCAGATATTAATATCTTGATTGAAACTAGAGTTAAGAGCTCCAAAGCTAGCTCTGTTAGACAGAAGTTAAATGTTGGTAACAATTTTTTAGATAACTATCAAAGCCATGAAAATGGTAGAATCTGGATTAATTGGAGGAACAACAACATTGATGTCAGGAAGGTTACTTGTAATAGCCAGATGATTCATTGTGGTGTTTATGATAATAATGGAGGTTTTAAATTTTGGTTAACAGCTATATATGGCCATAACAGTCTGGAGCAGAGGAAAAAATTGTGGATTAATTTAGATAACCTGCATACTATTGGAGCCTGGTGCCTTATTGGGGACTTTAATAATGTTCTTGGTGCTCATGATAGGATAGGAGGGAAAATGTTCTTGGAAGTAGAATTTGAAGACTTGCAGGAATTTATGGATAAGAATGGACTATATGAAATGGATAGGAAAGGGGATCATTTCACTTGGTCTAATAGGCATTATAATGACATAATTTACTCCAGGATTGACAGACTTTTGGGAAATGTTACCTGGTTTCAGTCTCACTTGTCCTATTCACTCAACATTTTGTCTCCATTAATTTATGATCATGCATTGCTTTTTGTTTCTAATCAGGTAGTCAGTAGAAACAAGATCCATAGATTTAAATTCTTGAATTGTCTCACTGCAGTAGATGGCTTCCTTGAGGCAGTTTGAAATAATTGGTGTGCTCAACTTGATGGTAGACCTATGTTTGTTCTATGGAATAAGTTGAAGAGATTATAACCTGTTTTAGTCAAACTTCAGTTGCCTCTGCTCCAAGCTAGAAAACATATTGCTATGACTAGAAATAATCTGGAAATGGCTCAGACTAGGCTTCAGGATGATAAAATGAATACTGAAAAGATGAATGATGTTAAGAAGTTATGTGCAGAGCTCTTGTATTGGAATGAAACAGAAATAGCCATCTTGAAGCAAAGAGCTAAAGTCAATTGGCTTAAATTTGGTGATGATAACTCCTCTTTTTTCATTCGGTTGTGAATATCGAAGCAGGAGTCTACGAATCTGAATTGTCTTATTAGAGAGGATGGTTCTAATATGTCTTCTCATGCTGATATTGAGGAAGAAATCCTTTCATTTTATGGTGGCCTGATGGGAAGCAAGGAGGAAGAAATTATTGGGATTGATTTGGCTGCAATGAGAAAGGGGGACCAGCTTAATAGTTCTCAAAGAGAATTCTTGGAATCTGCCATCAGTGATACAGAAATCTATGAAGCTCTTAAAGATATCAACGATTTATCAGCCCCTGGTATAGATGGGTTTAATTCTATTTTCTTTAAAGCTACTTGGGACATTATCAAGCATGATTTGATTGCTGCTGTTCAAGAGTTCTTTAACATGAATTATCTATACAAAGCCTTTAATTGTTCCATTATTACTCTTCTGCCTAAGACAAAGGCTTCCAGGAGAATAACAGAATTCAGGCCTATCTCTGTCTTCTCTACTGTGTATAAAATCATTTTTACAATTTTGACAAACAGATTGGGGAAAGTAATTGGTAGTATCATCAGTCCAAATCAAGTAGCATTCATCCCTGGGCAGTAAATTCATAATCAGATTCTCCTTGCTTATGAGCTCATTAAGGGCTATTCGAGAAAAAATGGTACTCCGCGGTGTATGATTCAAATTGATATGCAAAAGGCATACGATATGGTTGATTGGAGGGCCCTGGATAGCATTCTACAGGAGATTAGAATTCCCAGTAAATTCAAAAAGTGGATTATGATTAATGTTACTACTGTATCATATCGATTCAATGTCAATGGATCTCTATCTAATTTGTTGCAGGCTCAAAGGGGCATAAGGCAAGGGGACCCCATTTCCCCTTACCTCTTTGTAATCACCATGGAATACATGCACAGATGCCTCCACCAGATGAAAATGAACCCCAATTTTAATCATCACCCTAAATGTGAAAAGCTCTATATTACAAATCTTGCTTTTGCTGATGATCTGCTCCTATTTTCTAGAGGTGATATTGGCTCCTTATCTTTAATGATACAAGCTTTCAACCGGTTTTCTCGTTCTACAGGTATGAAAATTAATCCTCTTAAAAGCAAAATATACTTTGGAGCTGTGGATTTTGATGCTAAACAACAAGTTCTCCATTTGACCAACTTTCTTGATGGGTGCCTCCCAGTCAGATATTTGGGAGTGCCTCTCTCTTCTAAGAAGTTGGCTGCAAAATATTACCTGCCCCTTATTGATAAAATTGTCAGTAGGATTAGGCATTGGTCTTCCCAATTATTGAGTGCAGCTGGTAGACTTCAACTCATCAAGTTTGTTATTTTTGCTATGAATAATTATTGGTTCACTTGTTTCCCTATGCCTAAAGTGGTACTGCAAAAGATTAATACTATATGCAGATCGTTCTTCTGGGCTGGTACTGACAGGGTGAGTAGGAAAAGTCCAGTGGCCTGTAAATATGTCTGTAGTGCCAAGAAAATTGGTGGTCTTGGTTTAATTGACGTGTTTATCTGGAATGAAGTAGCTATGCTTAAATTGTTGTGGAATCTCTGTGCTAAAAAAGATAATTTGTGGGTTAGGTGGATACACTCCTATTATATGAAGAATGATGATATAATGGAATGTAAGATTAAAGATAATGGCACTTGGGTAATGAAACAGTTAATGGCAAAAAGAGAGCATATTCAAGATATTCAGGCCCTTTGGGATGTCATGTTGTGTGCTGGAAAATTTTCTATGAAATCTGTGTACTCCCAGTTGAGAAGCAATGAGCCAGTGGTCAGTTGGAAGTCTCTCATCTGCAAAAACCATGCTAGGCCTAGAGCTGTTATTACATAATGGTATGCCTGTCATTGCAAGTTAGCTACAAAGGATACGCTTGTTAGGTTCGAGTTTATTACAGATTAAATGTGCTGCTTTTGTTCTAGTATTGAGGATATCAATCATATATTGTTTGAGTTATTGGTTTGAGACAATTTTGGATTGATGTGCTTAATTGGATTAATGTTAATCATACCCCTAAGTCTTGGAATGAGGAACTTCCGTGGATTATTGAGAAATGTAAGGGCAAAGGTTGGAGGTGCACTCTGTTTAAGCTTGTTATCACGGAGACGGTCTATGGTATTTAGATGTATCAAAATAAAGTTTGCTTTGGGGAGAAAGTAGATTACTTGCAAGCCTTGAGACACATTATGGATAACATCATCTTTAGGGGATGGCATAGTAGAATTCCCAAAAAATATATTGTTTCCCTTATGATGTAATAGGATAACATATGCTTTTCTTGACTTTGTGGGTTTGATCTTTTTGAGATCACCTTATAATTGTAGTTTATATTAATCAAAGTTTGACTTGTTCACAAAAAAAAATAATAATAATAAAGGAAAAAGAAATAAAATAAAATAATAAAAAAGAAAATAATAATGAAAATTGGGCCATGGGTGCTGAAGTAAGGCAGGGGGAAAAGTTAGCAAAAAATGAAGGCCCAATGATAAGGGCCCAGGCGCTGCAAACAGAAAGAAAGGAAAAATGTGAGAAAAATAAGCAAAAGGCACCGCGCTGGGTGTTGAACCCACGCCCTCTTGGTTACTAGTGTGTTGTCTTACCACTGGGGTGGCTATACATCCGTTAACATTGGCACAAAAATAAATACATAACATAAAACTTGCCCTGACTGTACTTCATCTTCAACCTCCAGCCAAAGGATCTGTAACTTGCTCATTCTTCAACCATTTTAAAAAATGTAAACATGAAACTTGTGTATTTTTTAACCACGAATCCAACCATGTAACTAATTTAAGCTAACATTCAAAGATAAGGATGAATTTATAAAAGTACCAAATTCTGACCTAAATTTCTCAGCAAGTTTAAACTCAAAATTCTCCATGCTCAAGCAACATAAATGAAATCTATGGACATGTATAGTTTCAGGGCAATGATATCTACATTCTATCTTCATAAATGCAAGCCTAACAATGCCTAAATAATGAGATAGGAGTTCAAGAAAAATACCTCAAAAGTGGAAATCGTGAAATGAGTTTGAGCTTGTTTCAAGTGATGGTGATGATCAGGTTAGCTTCCTTTGACCTCTAGGAAGCTAATGCCATGGCTGGCTTGAGCTGAAGGTGGCTGAAATGGTCTGGAGAAGTCCAATTGTGATGCTCAGTTTTTGAACTTGGAAATGGGTTAAGATGGTGTTACAGTCATGTAACAGGGATAAAGATGGCTTATGTATGATGTTTGGAAGCTTTTGGAAGCAAAAGGCCAAGAAACGCACGAGTAAAATGGAAGTTTGAAGTTCTTGGTCAGAATATGCAACAATGGTGGTTTGTGATGCAGTTTTGAGTTTTGGGAAGATTTGGAGCTTGTGTATTCGTGTGTTTTGATGCAAACAAATTGTGCATAAGTAAGGAAAAGTTTCTAGCACTTGAGAGTGTCTGAATCACACAAGTACAAGTTTTAGGATTTTGCTTGTTTTTGAAGAAAAATGAAAATGTAGTTTCAAGACAAAGTACAAGCATGGGTTGAGTTTTTTCGAGACTTTAGACAAGTTTCTTTTGGGTTATAGGTTGTGTGTGATCAGAAGAAAACAATTGCAAATCTCAAGAACTGATTTTGTGCATAAAAGCTACTTTTCCAAAATGGCAATGTGCACTTTCTTCCCAGAATGGCATTAAACATGGGCAATGCATTGAATGCTTAGATTAAAGCCTCTAACAGTTGTGCAAACATTTAATTATGGAGTGCCAAGCAAGTTTGAGGCCTGCAAAGCAAAGATTGTGCAACCTAGCATGGATTTGAATTCTTGTTCATCACAAAATTCTGCCTTGTAAAACAACTTGAAACCCTAACTTCTAACCTTGGATTCTCCTTGCTCACAAATGATCTCAAGGAGTTCTTGGACTTTTTAGAATATTGAAATATGCTCTACAACCCGTCTTGGAATCACTTTTGCAAAATCCAAATGGAACTATGTGAAACTTGTCTCAGAAGTTAGGTCAAAATCCTGACCAAAATGCTCAAAATTTCACTAAGTGTTTTAGTTTCATGACCATGATTTCATGGATTAATAACCTGAGATCCAAGCATTTTTAGGAGGATTTGTGTAAAGAAATGTTTTATATCTCATTGAGATCTACAACTTTCATGTTGAAAGTTTCTTTTGAATCATCTTGCATCATGGTGAAAAATTGGCTCAAAGTTGTGAAAAAATATGAAGTTTTCAACACTTAGAAAAATTTCAAAGTTTGAAAACTTTGACTTTTCAAAATGAAATCTTGACATTTTGATTTCTTGATGAACAAGTTTCATATTTTGACATGTTTTGATGAATTGTGATCTTTGACACTTGATTTTGACCAAAAAGTCAAAGTTTGACTTTTTAGTGTGTAGTTGAATTTTGATCAGTTGACTGAAAATCAACTATCAACAATTGATCTTGAGGTAAGTTTTGAGTCAAACCATTAGGTCAAAATGATGCTTTTGAAATCTTGAGATCATGTCTCCAACCAATTAACCATTTTCTAGGTCAAAAAATCAGAAATTGCCCTTTCTTAGTCAAAACCCTAATTTTGACCATTTTGCCCTTTTGATGATCTGATCAAATTTCTTGAGGAATGGTGGTCCAAACTTTATTAAATGACATATAGGAGTTCACAATGTTGATATGGATAAACAATTATGAAGTTTGACTGTAAATTGACCATAATTGACTTTTCCTCCAATACAACTGATTTTTAAGTCAACTGATCAATTGACTAAGCAAAAATGTGATCCAAGACTTGAAACTTGAAATGAGAAATTTTGAAGGTCCATAATGATCCATGAAGGTCATATGAGGCATTAAGAGTTCAATTATCCTTGTGCAATCTCAAACCCTAATTTCAGATATCAATGCTTAAAGAGGTGTCTTGAGCTGATCAACCCTAGTGCAGTCTTGAACCAAAGGAGATATTGTGAGAAAATACTTGATAAATGATTGGGAAAATTTTGGGGTACAACAATATGGAATCTTC